GTTATCTGGGTTTATGGTTTATTTGCGACTGTTACATCAGAGGGAGCGCGCGGAGGAATACAGTCCGTTATAATTTAAAGATCACCTCAGAGAAACAGCGCTTATCAGTGAGGCTTCAGCGACATAAAGTTTTAATTCTAGACGTCGAAATACACCGAAGATACTGTAAAAACAACTTAGGAGATACATATTTAAATTCTACAAATCAAAATAGAAGTTATACGAGTAACATTAGTGCAAAACACAATCAGTGCCCTTGATAAAACACCTAACAGTTAACGTTAGTGTGTGTTACACCACTGATTGATTTGTCGTATTAACGAGGAGGATTTAAATGTGTGTATTTAGGAATATAATGTACATTAGTGTACTTGTGGTGTGGTGATAATCAGTATTATTGTGTCCTGACGGCTGTCGTTAGGCCTTGAACCCGAACTGTCTGAAGAACTAACACATATCCAGTGTGCATGTGTGTCCGAAATAACATCAGAACTCGTTATTTCTTCGCAAAACGCACACGTGTGTTTGGATATTAGTGTTTTTATGGAGCATGTGTGTCGGTGGGGCAAGTTAAATCAGTAAACTCTTACCGTGTTTTGCCGTGTCGATGTTCCTGACGGGTTTTCTGGACTGTACAGCGCGAGAGGGCACACTGAAGGAGAACGCAGCGGAGGCGCATGAACGGCGCATGCGCAATCTGCTGCGTTTTCCTCTGCTCCCTATGGCTCCTAGGTTACGTAAATCAATGTATAGCCTATAATGTTTAACTCTATTTCGCAACTCGTGTTTCTCTGTGAAGACATACCGATCATCTTTTAGGTAGTTTAGATATTTTTTGGATAACCTACAAACTGACCTGAAATGTTATATTAATTTGAGGTATATTATTTGCTCCTATGTAAATCAATGTGTATTACCTATAATGTTGAACTTTATTTCGCAACTTTTATGGGTGAAAACATCACATTGTTTAGCACATTTTTCTGCAAACTGACCTTAAAAATGTTATAATATATTGCATGTTAATTATATTTTTTTAAGTATGATTTTACTCCTAGGTTACTTAAATCAGTGTATTTAATGTTCAACTGTATTTCGCAACTCTTGTTTCTGTGAGAAAACATAATAATAGTAATTAATTAATAATAATAAAAATAATTTATTTATGTATCCTTTTTTCTCTTATGTAAATCAATGTATAGCCTATAATGTTTAACTTTACTTCGCAACTCTTGTTTCTCTGTGAAAACATCTGAGTGTTCGGCAAATTTTTCTGCAAACTGACCTCAAAAATATAGAAAGAAAAACTGTAATAAAGGGACTACGCCAAAACCAAAATTAACTTATATATATATATATATATATATATATATATATATATATATATATATATATATATATATATATATATATATAATAAACAAATAAATATGGTATACATAGTTTTTAGTTGATATTAGCATTCATACTTACATTTAGTTGTTTATTACAGTTTTTCTCAGTCGCTTTGGTGCATTTCTCACAACACTATTTACATTTGCATAACAGTTAATGCATTTCTCAAAACAATTAGTCATTTGTGCACATCCTAGTAGCAGTTTCTCATTCCTTCCAACAAATTGCATATTCTTTTGGACATGCATCAATTGCTTTCATACAACTCTCTGCTATTTATAACATTATCATTTGCTTATGTCATGTCAGTCAAAATGAACTAAACTTGTGAATGCTAAATAGTCTGTTTATTTTGATATGATAATGAAAAGTCACTCCATATAAAACTAGTCCTCATTTCATTACTTGAGTCATTATACAAAAATGTTGAACTAGTTGTCAAAATCTGTCAAGCAAATTATATTAAAAGAATTAATCTTTTTTTTTCCTGAAAATGTCTTCAAAATTGAACAATTTGATGAACGATTTACAGTGTATGTTGTAGGTTCAGTTCCAATATGTTCTGCAATATTGTTCAAAGTTGTGCACAACTCTACCCAAAGGGAGTGTATGATAGTTGTAAATAAGGCTGTATTTATTCTTTTAGACAATGCTGTGAATACAGTTTTTCTCAGTTGCTTTGGTGCGTTTCTCACAACGCTAGTGCATTTTTGCACAACATTTAATGCATTTCTCAAAACAATTAGTACAAAGTGCAAAACCTAGTTGATGACCTGCAAAAGCGCGTCACGTGCTCAAAATGGATAGTTCATTCCTCAAAAGCAAGTATTGATGTCAATGAAAGTGTCAGTGTCATCAAAATGAAAAGTCCTGACAGCATTGTTTATGAACAAGATAGTCAAATGGCTGTCATGTTTTCATTATTACAGTTTACTCTCTACATTTTTTCAATGCAAAAAAGTCAGATTTTGGTGACACTTCCTGAAAATGCTCAAGACAGCACTGTATACTACTTGCACAGCTATTTGAAAAATACAGTAAAGTTAGACATCAATGCATTGAGTGAGGTATCTGAGTACAAGACACTGAATATGTATGTTTCACATTTTTACTGCAGATGCTCTTTGCAATTCTAATTTATTCCCAGCATTGTGCAAAAGAATAAACACACCCTTATTTACAACAAACATAAACTCCCTTTAGGTAGAGCTGTGCACAACTGTACACAATATTGTAGTACGAATTTTAACTGAGCCTGCAACATACACAGGTCTGTAAATCATTCATCAAATTGTTTAATTTTAAAGACATTTTCTGGAAAATAAAGATTTAAATTTGTTTTATAAAATTAGCTTGACAGATTTTGACAACTAGTTCAACATTTTTGTATGTAATGACTCAAGTAATGAAATGAGGACTGTTAGTTTTATATGGAGTGACTATTCAGCATTTACAAGTTTAGTTAATTTTGACTGACATGACATAAGCAGATGATAATGTTCTAAACAGCAGAGAGTTGTATGAAAGCAATTGATGCATGTCCAAAAGCATTTGCAATTTGTTGAAAGGAATGAGAAACTGCTACTAGGATGTGCACAAATGACTAATTGTTTCGAGAAATGCATGACCTGTTGTGCAAATGTAAATAGTGTAGTGAGAAATGCACCAAAGCGACTGAGAAAAACTGTAAATTAGAATTGCAACAAGCATATGCAGTAAACACGTGAAACATACATATTTAGTGTCTTGTACTCAGATGCCTCACGAAATGCAGTGATGTCTAACTTTACTGTAGTTTTCAAATGGCTGTGCTAACAGTGCTGTCTTGAGCATTTTCAGGAAGTGTCACCGAAATCTGGCTTTTTGCATTGGAAAAAATGTCCAGAGTAAACTGACATAATGAAAACATGACAGCCATTTGACTATCTTGTTCATAAACAGTGCTGTCAGGACTTTTCATTTTGATGATACTGACACTTTCATTGACATCAATACTTGCTTTTGAGGAATGAGCTCTCCGTTTTGAGCAAGTGACATGCTTTTGCAGGTTATCAGCTAGGTTTTGCAGCTTGTACTAATTGTTTTGAGAAATGCATGAACTGTTGTGCAAATGTAAATAGTGTTGTGAGAAATGCACCAAAGCCACTGAGAAAAACTGTAAAACAGCTGTCACTATTTATCAGTATGTCTACCTTTAAGAATTTTAGAATTCAAAATGGTCTATACACACAGACAATTTAGCCTACCCAATTCACCTAGTGCATGTATTTGGACTGTAGTGGAAACCAGAGCAAAGGGAGGAAATCCACACCAAAACGGGGAGAACATGCAAACTCCACACAGAAACGCCAACTGACCCTGCAGGGGATCGAACCAGCGACCTTCTTGCTGTGAGGCGACCCACTGCGTCACCGCGCTGCCCTTTACTTAGTTTTGAAAATGATTATTTTTTGGTCATTCCCCATTGAATATTGGCAATAATTTTGGTGGGTTTAATAAAATATTTATGCTCAGTCAAATAAGTTATATTGTTATAAATAGAATATTAATAGTAATATTGTTAGAAATAGAAAGATAATAAATTTTTATTCATTATCATTATTGCAAATGTTTCAACTAAATGTGTTTGTAAACGTTTCTCTTGATTTCTCCTTGATTTTCCCCCTCACATATTAATTTAAGTGCACAAATTTTCAGACTGCGATTTTAATTTTTTGGTTGTATTAGTTCCCTTTTTATGTTTAAGCTTTAGTGTGTTTTAATAATAATTTTGTGCTTCTGTAAATTATATTAGGTTTTAGATTTAATCTTAATATCGATAGTATCTGGATGCAGCCTTTATGATGCAAGCTGAGATTGCATCAATCAGCGATGAATGTCAGACACAATGCACTCAATGGAGTGAGTGATGTCACGGTGACGGGTAAGGTTAGGTGAGCGCATTAAATAGCATTGGATGCAGCTCAGATTGCACTGCACCAGGTCTGCATCCAGACCCCTCTCATTAATATTCGATGTTGATAAAATAAATGTTATTTGTGTGTGTGTGTGTGTGTGTGTGTGTGTGTGTGTGTGTGTGTGTGTGTGTGTGTGTGTGTGTGTGTACATACACATATGTAGTATATAGCATTTAGTTTATACTAGCGTTTGTTAATAATACTACTACTAGTCTTGTTATCATATTTATTTAATATCCTAGATATGTGATTATGTCAAATATTTAAAAAACAATACGACAGACAGACAGATAGATAGATAGATGATAGATGATAGATAGATAGATAGATAGATAGATAGATAGATAGATAGATAGATAGATAGATAGATAGATAGATAGATAGATAGATAGATAGATAGATAGATAGATAGATAGATAGATAGATGATAGATAGATAGATAGATAGATAGATAGATAGATAGATAGATAGATAGATAGATAGATAGATAGATAGATAGATAGATAGATAGATAGATAGATAGATAGATAGATAGATAGATAGATAGATAGATAGATAGATAGATAGACACATGCATGTTACACAACATGCTTCTCCGGGCTGACATGATAAAAGCGCTGCTGCCCCTTTAAGACGTTGCCATGGTGAAGTTTTGCGCTTGTTGTTGGTGCGTCATCAGTCTGCGTGTAACCGAAGAATAGAGCAAATATCTCGCACTGTTCGCTTGATTATCAGTAAACCGAGGCTTTTATTAAAGGTAAGTTTCTTTACGTAATTATTCTAATTAAATGTGTTACAGTTTATATTCTCACACAGATTAAATATGGCGATTGATCATTCTGAATCGAGTACTGTGTGAATCAGCAGGTGTTTATTAACGGTGGAGTTCGTGCAGAACAACAGCCTGCGGTTAAATCAAGGAAACTGTATTATGTGCATCATAATAATATTCACTCTGGCTTCCTTGTATCTGATATAAATGAATGAATGTTTATTTTGATATGATAATCACCAGTTGACCTGCTAATCACATCAGTATTAAGAGCGTTCTGGTGTGAATATAAAATAATGAATATATAAATATATAAAATATCATTTAAAAAAGAAACAGATGTACTTATTAATGTAAATATTATTCATATAAATTAAAAATATTAAACATATTCAGTTATAATGTTAATCAGCTACATAAACTATAAATTTAGAATTTAATAAATATAATTAGAAATTAAGTAATTATATTAATTTACCTTTAACTATATTAGATTTTAGATATAAAATTATATAAAACTATATTCAAGAGTTCACACTTAGCTCATGATTTAGACATAGCTTGTTTGGCATGCGGTCCCGGGAGAGAGCCCTGGGCTCCCCCCTTTTGCAGGGCGAGGGGAGATTGAGCTCAGGTCGATCTCAAACTACCCCGCTGCTGAGGCCAAGGTGAACTTTCTGAGAGTAAGATATTATAAAAAAAAAGCTTTAGGATTATTTTATCTATAATATGGAGCACATTTGGATGGTGGGAGGAAATCGGGGAACCCGGGGGAAATCCACGTGGACACGGGCAGAACATGCAAACTCCACACAGAAATACCAGATGGCTCAGCGAGGACCCGACATAGGTATTCTTGCTGTGAGGCAACAGTGCTAGTCGCAGAGCCACCGTGCCACCCATTCTGGATAAAGGAGGAAAAAGGGGAGATGGGGGTTTTTTTCCAGACGAAGATAGTTGTAGAAAGGAAATGAAGATATATATAGTGATTTGGGATCCTTTGATATGAGGATCATGATTAGCTAATGTGGACCAGCTGGGTCAATCATGAGCACATGCTCCTCTCGAAATTAGTTTAAAATTAAACTTCACCTAAATAAAAAACTAATAATTTAGACAATAATACTTACTTCGACCTTAGCCAGGGGGGGGAGCTAAGGTCCAGGATTTGACCCATACATGAGCTCATTTGTCCTATTTTGACTGCTATGTCATCGCAATAAGTAACAATAACCCATCGAAAAGGCTTTGAGACCAAGCCGAATTCTATGTTGGCTGTCATGACTTCAGCTAACCAGTTTTGACCAATGCAAACAATTATTTTTCATGAGTCCAACATCCAGCTGTGCAAGAAAACACACAATCTGATGTAAGTGGCGTTATCTTTAACTACTATTGTTTTTAAAATAGAGAAAACAATTTACAAGTAACTTTTTTTCTAAATCTTGGACCTTATTCATGAAACTAAAAAATAACCAATAAAAAGGTGTGAAGCCCCAAAAGTGGATCATATTAAAATTCATTTAAATACTATTTTGGCTATTATTGTAATTAATCAATTCATTTTATTTCAAATGGTGAAAATCTGACTGAGTAAAGTTGAATGTGCTGACCAGTTTGTTATTTATAATTTGCCTAATAATTGACTATAGACTTTTTAAATTTGAAATGGGTTATTTTATTTATTGATATATGATGTAATAAATTTTTCACAGAGATGGGTTGCGACTGGAAGGGCATCCGCTGCGTAAAAACGTGCTGGATAAGTTGGCGGTTCATTCTGCCCGGATTAATAAAGGGACTAAGCCAACAAGAAAATGAATGAATGAATGAATGTAATAAATTTGTATTTTAAAAATAAATATTTATTTTTTGGTATATCAAAAGTGTGGTTATGATGACCATCCGACAAGCTAATTCAGATAAAAATAGTGCTTAAAAAGTATTTAAATCTCATAATTAAATATAAAGTGAGGTGTGTGACTCCAAAAAAGGTCCACTTTTTGAAAAAAAAAAGAACCCCCCCCCCCCTCCCTTTGACCAGGCTGGCTACGGGGCTGTTAGGGGCCTCGGAATGAGTATCCCCAGGTAGAAATAGAGAATAAAGAAAATGATTAACGCAGCTGCTGTTTATAGTGAATTTAAACGCAAGCAAAAATGAAGTGTGAAAATAGCAGTTATTTAACAAAGAAACAAACGTGGAAAGCATATGAGTTTCTAACACTGTCTGGTGTATTAGGGAGGAGTGTGTCCTGCAGGTGTCTGTCAAGCCATCTCACCTGCATGGAGCACATTCATGTATCGCACCGCTATGTGATGCATTGAGTGTATGCTTCACCAAAAAGACAGGTCTTTAGTTTTGAACTGAGAGAGAGTGTGTCTGAGCCTCGGACATTATCAAAAAGGCTATTCCAGAGTTTAGGAGTCATAAATGAGATATATTGATAAATATAGACCTTTTTCATGGCTGCTGCATGGAGGGCGCCATAGCGACCAGCGTCTTCCGGTAGAATGCTAAAAACTTCCGTTTACAGCGTGAACAACTGGTTATTTGCACTCCGAAAATGGGTTTCAATAACGTTTTTAATGGATAACAGAGTGTTTTTGTGACACACAACTTAGAAATGTGTGTGTTAAAGCCGTTATAATCTGTCACATGTGGTTCAAGCGCGTCAGAAATACGAGAAAAACGTTCTCCTAGTTCACGCGTCTGCCGTCAGAAATAACGTACAGTGTGTGTGTGTGTTCCCGGCCTGTCAGCTGTTAGCTCAGCGGCTCTTTAACACACGCACACACACAGAGAGAGAGAGAGCAAACCAGAGTACTGGCATGAAACTTAACAGGTATGAAAGTCGTGCAATTTACAAAAATGAGCAATAAAAGTCTGTTATTGATCCTCTGCTGCTGATTTGCTGTTCATTCTAATCGCGAGCCGTTTGTGTTTTATTTCGTGTGTTGTTTTTACCACGGTTTGTGTTTTTCTGTCATTTCGAAATGACACTAGCCTATATTTTCATGTTGTCACAGTTATTAAATCAGTGTGTCAGTGGCACAGTACAAGCTGTGTGTGTGTGTCAAACATTTTGGTGAACTACATTTGTTTGGGCTGGTTATATATTTGAAATAAAGAGAAAATGTTGACTTTAGCGATGACGAGGCTTCATTTAAACTGCAGAAGATGCCGTCTGACAACGAGGGCAAAACGCCTCACAGCAGCTGTTTTCCATCCTATTAGATCGCATTTCTTTAAATGATCAGTCCAGGAGATGCTGCTGATGGACAACAGTGTTAGTTAAAAGAGGATAAAAGCAGGTAAAATAGATTAAAACTATCGTTTCAAAGCTGTCCAAATGTGACTGTTTACACGCATCAGCTGCCGACCGGAAGTTCTTCGCTTTCTCCTTGCGCATACACGCAAAGCATAATGGCTAATTTTGCGTTCCAAGAAAATGATCTATAAATAATGTTACGACAGCTGTTTTAGCGTTACGATATGATTCAATTGCCTCTTGTTACAGTTATTAAAACAGTTTGACAACAAGCAGGAAATCAGGGCCAGTGATATCACCACATTGAAATGGTCTAAAGAAATAAACAGAAACAGAAATAAGTAAAAATATGATATAAACGTAGGTCCAGACCACCTTTCATTCAAGATTCATGCATGGTAGCGACATGTCCTCCGTACGCAAATTTATTTTTAACCGTGTTGTCATAAAATCCCCCTGCAGCATCAGTCCAGCATGTGTAATAATAAAAGCCATCAGCATGAAAGTCCATCATTTCCTTTGTATATTTATTTATTTATTTCCAACAGTGTTGTCATAACCCCCCCCTGCAGCATCAGCATGTGTGAGGGCCCGTCAGCCATCTCTGGCCCCATTCCTCCAGATCCCACACTGTTTCCTGAATATTACAGACGCCCATCTTCTGGTAAGCGTCAGCCTGTGGAGCTCGTCTTGTTTTCTGTGCACATTAATTAACCTATGAACAATGATTGTGTTGATGAAGCTCGTGGTCGGCTGGAGGGAAACGCTCCGAACGGCTCGTCTCCTCTTCTGAAGGGTCCGTTAGCACCAGATCCCGCTCTTCATCCTGGATGTTACAGTGCCCGATCCAGCCCTCGACCCCGCATCGGTGCTAACGCTGCCCATATCCTGGAGAGAGGACAGAGGGGGGTTGTGGGAAACCTGCTGAGACTGGACGGAGTGGCACTGAGCCCCAGTCCAGCCAAACCCAGTAAGAGCACAGCACTAGGCATGGGCCACTATAAGATTCGACAAATATTTCTGTGGAAATTCTGTGGAAATTTCTGCTTCTGTTCTTGCTTGACAGAACCTGCCATACGAGACTTTGGTAAAGAAAACGTCCGCAAGCTTCGAGAGGTCCAGAGGCGTTTTCGAGAGCTGGAGGCGCAGCGAGAACACGCCAAACCTGTGCCAGTCAAAGCACTCTGGATCTCCCCGAAATACCAAGACGTGCCCTCCAGAGTCATGGCCCAGTTACAGGTGAACAAGAGATTTCCTTTCTACCCTCGAGGATTTCTAAATAGATCAGTGCAGCTGAAGCCCCTTTTTGTACTTCCCCTTTTAAAAGGAGGAGAAGCATCGGAGGTAAACAATTATAGACCAATTTCCAAATTATGCATCAGTGCAAAAATGTTTGAAAAATTAGTCAGTGATTAACTTAACCTGTTTCTGGACACAAATAACTTGTTATCAAATTACCAGTCTGGATTCAGAAAGCAACATAGTACTGTTTCTGCCACACTGAAGGTTTTAGATGATTTTTTACCGGCAATGGATGGTAAGAATTATTGCTCTGCTCTTTTTCTTGATCTTTCAAAGGCATTTGATACTGTTGATCATACACTTTTAATTCATTCTTTAACACGGATCGGTATGTCAAACCAAGCTACCACTTGGTTTGCTAATTACCTGTCCAATAGAACACAGTGTGTCCATATGGACGGGCTGACTTCTTTATCTTTATTTATACTTTTTTTATTTATATTAGGGCCTTTATTATTCTCTATCTACATTGATAACTTGTGCGACAACCTTACAAATGCCTTTTATCATCTGTACGCTGATGATACAGTGATTTATTGTTGCTCCCCTTCATTTGCTCAGGCCATTTAATTTTTACAGTCTGCTTTTAATATTGTTTAGTCTCGTCTTAAGGATCTTAAATTGGTTTTAAATGTAGACAAATCTGAATTAATGATTATCACAAATTGTTTCACTCCTGTGCAGAACCAACCATTAATTACCACTCCCCAGGGTCAACAAATAAATTTACATTTACATTTAGTCATTTAGCAGATGCTTTTATCCAAAGCAACTTACAAATGAGGACAAGGAAGCAATTTACACAACTTTATGAGCAAGAATGAATAAGTGCTGTAGGCAAGTTTCAGTTGTGTAAAGTCTAAGAAGGAAAGCATTAGTAATGTGAGAATTTTTTTTTTTTTTTAGTACACTTAGTGGTATAGCTGGAGAGGCAATTGCAGATTAGGAAGTGAAGTATAGACTGAATAGTTGAGTTTTTAGTGGTTTCTTGAAGACAGCGAGTGACTCTGCCATTCTGATGCAGTCAGGAAGTTCATTCCACCAACTGGGCAGATTAAATGCGAGAGTTCGGGAAAGTGATTTCTTCCCTCTTTGGGATGGAACCACGAGGCGACGTTCATTCACAGAACGCAAGTTTCTGGAGGACACATAGATCTGCAGAAGTGAGAGCAGATAAGGAGCAAAGCCAGAGGCCGCTTTGTCAGCAAACATCAGAGCTTTGAATTTGATGCGAGCAGCAACTGGCAGCCAGTGCAAACGGATGAGCAGCAGAGTGACGTGTGCTCTTTTAGGTTCATTAAAGACCACTCGTGCTGCTGCGTTCTGAAGCAGCTGAAGAGGTTTGATAGAGTTAGCTGGAAGCCCGGCTAGTAGAGAGTTGCAATAGTCCAGTCTGGAGAGAACAAGAGCTTAAACAAGGAGCTGAGCTGCATGTTCAGATAGGAAGGGTCGGACCTTTCTGATGTTATAGAGTGCGAATCTGCAAGATCGAGCAGTTCTAGAAATGTGGTCAGAGAAGTTTAGTTGGTCATCAATCGTTACTCCCAGGCTTTTCACCAATTTGGATGCAGTAATGGTTGCCCCATCCCCCCAAATTTAGTGTCCAGCTATAAGAATTTAGGCTTTCTACTCGATCAGGAGCTTTCTTTCAAAGAACACATAGCAAATTTGGTTAGAAAATTGAGAGTTAAGCTCGGATTTTACTATCGAAATGCATCCTGCTTTTCTCTTAAAGCTCGTAAACATTTGGTGTCTGCAACATTTTTACCATTTATTGACTATGGTGATGTTTTATATATGCATGCTTCAAACAAATGTCTTCAGCCTTTAAACTCCATAGTGCGCTAAGGTTTGTTACAGGCTGTCAAAGACTTACTCATCATCGTGAATTGTACGCTAAAGCTGAGTGGCCTTCTCTGTGTGTAAGAAGGTACACCCACTGGATGACTCTGGTCTACAAGGCTCTTCTGGGACTGGTGCCTTCATACCTATGTTCCCTTCTCCATAAGTCTAAAAGAAAGCATGCCCTACGCTCAAGTGAATCTTATAATTTGATTGTTCCCCGGGTTCGAACTGAAATAGGAAAGCGAGCCTTTAGTCATGCCGCCCACTCATCCTAAAATACTCTTCAGTCTGAAGTAAAGATATCTGAGCTCATCCCAATGACATCGTTTCACTCTATTCTTTTTAACAAACAACAACAGTCCATTTCTCAATGCATGTGTTTTTAATATACTGAAATGTGGTAAAGCTGGAAAACTGAACTGTATTTTTATATTATATTAATTTTCTATTTATTATTAATATTATTAAATTTTTTTCTTTTTTTTATATAAATCATGTGATGCAGACCTCTTGGCCAGGTCACCCTTGTAAATGAGATCTTGATCTCAATGGGTTTTTATCTGGTTAAATAAAGAAACATGTATAGGGACTTTATAATGAATTAGAAGTTTAAAGGAGACCTATTATGTAAAACTTACTTTCATAAGAGGTTTAAACACAGTTGTGTGTCAGCAGTGTATGAATATAAGCAGCTTCTAATGGTAAAAATTTATTCATTTTATTGTTTATAATCCCTCTCGATAAAAACAGAAACACTTTGATTGACATTTTCTCTTTGTACATGTCATCAGAGTGGGAAAGCCCCGCCCACTAGTGACCATCTCTTCCTCATTAGCATAGGATATAAGTCTTAAATCTGCCACTATAATGACACACAAGCATTTGCATTTGCACAAGCATTATGTGTGTGTGAGTGTTTTTGTGCATGTGTATGTGTTTAAATGTGTGTGTGTGTGAATGTGTTTTTATATGTGTTTGTTTTTGTATGTGTGTGTGGTGAGGGCACATCTGTGATAATGTTCTTTTGTTTAAGTGTGTGTGTTTGAGTGTGTGTATGTGTGTGTGTGCAAATGTATGATTGACTGTGTTTTTACATGTGATCATGTTTGTTTTTGTGTGTGTGTGTGTGTGTGTGTGTGTGTGTGTGTGTGAGCGCTTTGGGTTTTAGATAAGCGCGTTATAAATAAAATGTATTATTATTATTATTATTATAGTAATACCAGTACAAATTGACTTTGTGGGGACATTTTTGGTCCCTATATGAATAAAACGGCTCATAGATGCAGATTGTTTCCAATGAGGGCTGGTTTAAGGGCAGGAGGAGAGAATATACAGTCTGTACAGTAGAAACATCCTTATGTCTATGAAAATAAGATAGCTGTAAGAGTGTGTGTGTGTGTGTGTGTGTGTGTGTGTTTGTGTGTGCAGGAAACAAGCCCCTTAAAGAAGCCTGAATATCAGAACTTCCTGAAGGCTCATTCAGTGTGTGGAGCCGGGGGTCGACCGGTGCTGCGGCGCTCAGACAGTGGACCGACCGCTGCTGGAGACTCAGACTCTGAGGTCAGAAACACACACACACACACACACACACACACACACACACACACACACACACACACACACACTAACTCAGCACACACTTACACTCACAAACACTTCATTCACACTCCTGCAGACAGTGTTGCGTAACAGAGGTCTGTGTGTGTGTTGATGTGTGTCCAGATGCATGTGAGAGGACACACAGTGGACTTTGTGAGTCATAACGCTCGAGCTGCGGCGAAGACCAGCATGAGGAGATCTCAGTCCTTACAGAACCTGCAGGACAAAACACCAGCCTGCGCCGTCAAGGGCAAAGTGCCGCCATAGTGAGTGAAGTTACACAATATTGGAATAACTGACATTACTATACTTTGTTTTTCTCAGATACATGGTTGAAGTCAGTATTATTCGCCCCCCTGTATATTTCATTCACCAATTTCTGTTTTACTGAGAAGATGTTTTCAGCACATTTCTAATTATAATAGTTTTAACTCATTTCTTATAACTGATTTCTTTTGTCTTTGCCATGATGACAGCACATAATACTTGACTTGATATTCTTCAAGATGCTAGTATTCAGCTTAAAGTGACATTTAAAGGCTTAACTAGGTTAATTAGGGTAAAGTTGGGTTAATTAGGCAAGTCAATAGCTGTTTCCATCCAAAAATGCGAATGAACTTTATGTGCAAAACTGGATTATCACATTAAAGTCATGCGAATAAAGCAGCATTACCTTCTAACGAGTCAAAGCAAACAAAACACTTCCTGATTAACTGGCGCCAAGTATCAACAGTAAAAACGGAATTTGCTGCGATAGGAGAAGCTGCATCAATCTGTTCTTTCAAGAGTTCACACTTAGCTGATGATTGATTATAAGCAAGTTTGGCATGCTGTCCCGGGAGAGAGCCCTGAGCTCAAAAGGTCCTTGAGCCCTGGGCTCCCTCCCGTTTGCAGGGCGAGAGGGGAGCCTTGAGCTCAGGTAGATCTCGACAACTCCTTCCTTGATAAGAGCTGATGACTGAAATGAATGCTATGAAGAGAATTGCTGCAGGATGAGAGATTGACTTTAGTGCTAAATTTAGGGTGCTTTCACACCTGCCTTATTTAGTTTGATTGAATCGCACTAGAGTTCGTTTTCCCTTTTGGTGCGGTTCGTTTGGGCAGGTGAGAATGCAGCAATCGTACTCGAGTGCGCACCAAAAGCGGACCAAATAAGCGTACTGAGACCTGCTTGAAGAGGTGTTCTTGGTATGCTTTCAAATGAACCCTGGAGCGGTTCATTTGTGGTGAGAATTTGATTCGTACTAAAACAGGTCCAACCGCAAAAAGTACTGCGCCTTTCGGACTAAGTCAGCTGCCGTAGGCCGATGCGCTGTGCATTATGGGATATAGAGGAAAAATATTTGTTGACAGCGCTTTACCAAGAAAGAGAGAGAGAGGGAAAACATTACCTGATGGATCGTTGGTAATATTTCCGCAAGATGAGCATGTCGCAGTTTAGCTAAATTAATTCACGCCTCCTCCTGAAGTGACGTGCGATGCATTAAAACACTGTTTTCCAGCCGCGGCCGCGCTTCATTCTTAAAATGTATAGTTTGTCTAAAGCAGGGATACAATCAGTCAGCGCAGTCGTCCCTCCATTAAAAAGCTACATTTTGTGTCTGCTGGTTTTGTTTACTTGTGGGAGTTCATTGGCTTTTTCCCGCACATGAATTCTGACCAATCGATACGCAGTTTAGGAAATATGTTCAACAACATCTGGCCAATGAGAAAGTGGATTTTATCAGATGACTGCATTTTGGTTTGTTCCAACTGGTTCGGACCAAAGCCAGCAGCGTGGTGTGAAAACACACAGAAAACGACGGCAGAAAATGCAACAATGTATCATTTATTGCCCTTGGTGCAGACCAAATGAAGCGAACTACAGATGTGCAAGCACCCTTAGATTGATCAATTCACTTGTTGTGCATGTTTTTAGAATGTGGGAGGAAACCGGAGAACCCGGGGAAAATCCACACGAGCACAGGAAGAGCATGCAAACTACGCACATAAACGACCGCTGCCCTTTTAAAAGACTACAACCGGTGACATTCTTGCTGTGAGGCAACAGTGCTAACCACTGGGCCACCGTGCCACCCTATAAAGGGAAAGGTGAAGAGGTAGGGGTGAAAGGGGGGTTCGTCAAACCGAAGGTGGCTGTAGTGAAAAACCCTGGCTCTTTATAGTGGATTAGGAATGGCCTGATTGGTGGATCATACATGCTAATGCAGAACCAGCAGTGTTCAATCATAATCACGTGTTCCTCTCGAAATTAGTTTATGAATAAACTTCACTTATCTAATAAATGACTTGCGCCTCAGAAGGCAATCCTGACATGCAGTGAATGCGCGGTGGCGTTTGAAGGTGTCAGCCGCGGAGCACAGACGCTCTTGATCCTGGAGGTCGTTAATAATATAATAACACTAATACTTGCACGTTAAGACGTTTAATAATGATGAAAACAACAGTTCAGATGGTTTACAGTGTGCTCAGCCTGATGGTTTGTCCATTCACACACATTTTAATCATCACATGACTAATTTTAATGCACGTGCTGGAGTTTGTGCGGTAAAAGTGTTTCCATCGTAGTTTGTGCGCATCGTTTCTTATCGAATAAAAAATTGATCCTACTCAGTTATGCGCATGTGATGCTGGCTAGACATTGAATTTTGGTCACCTGACATCACAGTCTAAATCTAACCTAATATTAATGTCTTATGACATTGTGTGCCTGCTGGGCAATAACTGCACTACAGAATGTTACGTTTACACACACATGCACAAATTAGATGTAAATGCATCAGCTTTTCACAGTGTAATACTCACCAGCCTTGAGTAATATTTGTAATGTATTAAATATAAATGTTATAAACATTGTAATATTTACAGCAGATACTTTTACTCTACTTGCACTACATTTTTAGGCAAGTAATGGTACTTTTGCTTGAGTATGATTTTTCAGTACTCTTTCCACCACTGATGATGTGAAAATAAATGTGATTTGATTTGATTTGGATAAACTAAATTGGCCGTAGTGTACGAGTGTGTGTGCGAATGAGTGTGTATGGGTGTTTCCCAGTACTTGGTTGTGGCTGGAAGGGCATCCGCTGTGTAAAACATATGCTGGATAAGTTAAGATAGATAGATAAGGCACTGAGCTGAAAGAAAATGAATGAAGGAAGGAATGAAAAGTGACTGAAAGCTGTATTCCCTGTATTGTTTTAATGCTTGAAAACCTGGTCAGCATGTTCAGTGTACTATTTGAGCTGGTGTGTGTGTGTGTGTGTGTGTGTGTGTGTCAGTCTGGAGCAGAGGAAGGCACAGTGGAGGAAGGAGGAGGAGGAGAAGAAGAGAAACACTCCTGACCCGTCTGTTCCTGCAGGACACACACAGATGTCTGAGAGAGAGAGACAGGAGACGCTGCACTCCCTCAAAGAGAGTGAGTGATTGACTGTGTGTGTCTGTGTGTATAGTGTGTGTGTATGTTTCTGTGACATGTCAGGACAAAACCTTAGCACTTTATAATGGCACTGGTATGACATAGGTCAGGGGTGTTCAAATTTGGTCCTGGAGGGTCGGTGTCCTGCATAGTTTAGCTCCAAGTTCATTTAACACACCTTCCTGGACGTTTTTGTATACCTAAAGAGCTTGATTAGCTGGTTCAGGTGTGTTTAATTGGGGTTGGAACTAAAATATGCTGGACAGCGGCCTTACAGGACCGGGTTTGGGCACGCCTGACATATTGATTGTGAATTAGGAGGATGCCATCATGTTTCATAAGTCTTATAAATCATACAGAATGATGTGTGTGCATGAATGGATATCTGGCCGTCAAGTCAGATGAGATGTGTGTGTGTTTGAGTTTGTGTGTGTGTGTGTGTGTGTGTGTGTTTTGTCTGCAAATGCATGTGTGAGGGACTGTGTGGTTTTGTGTGTGTGTGTTTGTGTTTTTGTTTAAGTGTGTGTGCATATGTTTTTGTGTGCGTGCATATTTGAGTGACTGTGAATCAGTGAATCTTCTGTGTTTTTGTGTTTACGCGTACGTGACTGTGTTTTTGTGTGACTGTGTGGTCCTGGTATTCATCACATGAAGACTAAATATCTTTTCAACAGGGGGGTTCGAGTGTTTCGAACGAACCACCCCCCCACGACCAAAAGGTCTAGAATTTGTCCTTTGAATTATTTTATATATTATACAGTTGAAGTCAGAATTATTAGCCCCCTTTAAAAATTTTTTCTTCTTTTTTAAATATTTTGCAAATGATGTATAACAGAGCAAGGAAATTTTCACAGTATGTCTGATAATATTTTTCCTTCTGGAGAAAGTCTTATTTGTTTTATTTCGGCTAGAATAAAAGTAGTTATTAATTTTTTAAACACCATTTTAGGGACAAAATTATGAGCCCCTTTAAGCTATATTTTTTCTCGATATTCTACAAAACAAACCATCATTATACAATAACTTGCCTAATTACCCTAACCTGCCTAGTTACCCTAATTAACCCAGTGAAGCCTTTAAATGTCACTTTAAGCTGTATAGAAGTGTCTTGAAAAATATCTAGTCAAATATTATTTACTGTCATCATGGTAAAGTTAAAATAAATCAGTTATTAGAAATGAGTTATTAAAACTATTATGTTTAGAAATGTGTTGAAAAAATGTTCTCTCTGTTAAACAGAAATTGAGGAAAAAATAAACGCCCTAATATTTCAGGGGGGCTAATAATTCTGACTTCAACTGTATATATAATTACACACACATATATATATACATACATACATACATATATAAAATAATTACTGTAATATATTTTTATTCAATATAGGTAATAAAGTGTAATTTTTAATAACTCTGGCCAGTAATTTGAATCCCATAGAGCCTCAAAGCCTCAATAATGTGACGCGAGTCTAGTGACATAACCCACTGAGTAGTAACGTGAATCTTTGATGCGACATCCATACTAAGTAAGGAAATAGGTTGAAAAGAGCAAGAGAGGCAGAAAAGGCAGGCAGCTGTGTCATTATAGCAAAATATTGAACATATGTTCAAAAAGACTGCCAAACAGGGTAAGGCTAAAGTTACTTACTCCCTCACAGATGAAAATCTGTCCCTATCTGTGAGGTTCTAGGCTAACTGGCCGCATTAGCTGGGAAGTCCTGTTTATTTATTGACTTGTCCAGTACATGACCTCCCTTTGCTTATTTTTTTCAAATAACTGTCCTACGAAGGCTTTAATAGCCAGCGGAGTCCTCAGCTGTCAGATGTCACTTCACAGCAAAAGGCGCTAATCCCATCACGTCTGTGTTTTTGAGGCTGTTTGGTCACTTCATTCGTTTTATTCTGATCGGATATAAATCCGATCGCTCAAACCACTTCAGAAGGTGATCTGGGATGCATTCCAGATGAAATTGGACAGGTTTTTAGACAAAATTAATATAAATAAAACTAATTATGACCTGGAGATAATCTGACCTGCGCCTGAAACACCTGTGGGTGCGCTTTTACAGCCAAAATTCTATTAAAATATGTTTACTGTAAGCATTAAACGTGTTCTAACATTTCAGGCCTGTAGCCAGGGGGGGGGTTCGGAAGACCCACCCCACACTGACAAAGGTCCAGAATTTGTCCCATATATGAGCTCATTTGTCCTATTCTGACTGCTATGCCATCATAAATAATGAAAATAATCCATCAAAAAAGGCTTTAAGACCAAACGTAATCCTCTGATAGCTGTTGCTTCGACTCTAATCTGATGTAAGAGAAGTCTTCTTTCACTACTGTATCGTTTTTAAACAGAGAAAACATTTTACAGCCAACTTTATTTTAAATCTTGGACCTTATTTCTGAAATAATAATGAGCAATAAAAAGGCGTGAAGCACCAGAAGCGGACCATAATAAATTAATTTGAATATATTTTGCCTGTTGTTGACATCCAGGAATTTTCAAATGTACTTTTTTTTTTTTTTACCGAAGAGGCTAGAAAAATTCAGAAGAATTTATTATTATTGTTTTTATTATTATTATTATGTTTTAATTATAATTTTTTATTGAAATGGCCAAATTGTGACTGAGGACAGTTGAATGTGCTGACAAGTTTGTTTTTTGTCTAATAAATGACAGTAGGCTACAGTTTTTTTACTTTAAAACTTTAACAGATTGCAAGCTATTTAATCTTTCTCGCCTGAAAGCCAAAACAAAGGTACGCGAGACGCTGATCAGAGACATGCTTTTTGCTGACGATGCTGCAGTCACCACACACACCCAGGAAGAACTACAGTTGCTGATGAGCCGCTTTTCCATGGCCTGCAAAGACTTTGGGCTGACCATCAGTTTGAAAAAAACAAATGTCTTGAGCCAGGACACTGCCACTCCACCAGCCATCACAGTAGATGATTACCAGCTTGATGTCGTCCACCAGTTCACGTACTTGGGCTCCACCATCACCGATAACCTCTCCCTGGATGCTGAGCTTGACAGGAGGATCGGGAAGGCAGCCTCTACTCTAGCCCGCCTGACAACCCGAGTGTGGACAAACCATAGGCTGACAACTGCAACAAAGATGGCAGTGTACAACACTTGCGTCATCAGCACTCTGCTGTATGGGAGTGAGACATGGACCACCTATGCAAGACAGGAGAGGAGACTGAACACCTTCCACCTAAGAGGTCTGCGTCGCATTCTGGGCATTACCTGGCAGGACAAAGTCTCCAATGTCAAAGTCTTGACTCGAGCCGGCCTTCCCAGCATGGATACCATGCTCCGACAACGTCGCCTGCGCTGGCTTGGTCATGTGCGCCGTATGGAGGATGGGAGAATTCCAAAGGATATCCTTTACGGAGAACTCTCATCTGGGAAGAGAACCACAGGACGCCCATTTCTGAGATTTAAAGATGTCGTGAAGAGGGACATGAAGGCCCTTGACATAAACACCAAGTCCTGGGAAGACCTCGCAGCAGACCGCCTGAAATGGAGGTGCACCCTGACCAAACAGCTCAAGTCAGGTGAGAAGAACATTATGCGTGCGTCAGAGGACAAGCGAGTTCACCGAAAGGTGCAGAGCGTCAGCCAGGGAGCCACCTATCAATGCGACTGCTGCGGTAAAGAATGCCTCTCCCGTATTGGTCTCTTCAGCCACCAACGACGCTGTCTCAGACAATCAGTCATGCCTTAAGATAAGAGCTAGGATACGTCATCCATGTTCAACACTGACCGACGGAGGCCTACTAAGATGAGATCTGACTAGCTAATCCAGCAAAAATGTCACCAAAATGCAGTATTTAAATCTCATTGTTAAATAGAAACTGAGGCGTGTAACTGCAAAAAGGTCCACTTTTTGAGAAAAACAGAACCACCTCTTTCACCAGGCTGGCTACAGGCCTGTCCAAGTATAGCATTAGCAGTAATTTTTTACCTTGTGGGGACAACTTTGTGGTCTAATGGGGAAAAACAGCTCATAAATTAGACAGAACAAAGTATTTTGACATTGTATTTTGACATGACTGTTTTCAGTGGGGGTTGGGTTGGGTATGGGGAGTGAAATATACAGTAAAGAGCCCAAAACATGAAAGCCCAACTTTTGTGTGTGTGTGTGTGTGTGTGTGTGTGTGTGTGTGTGTGTGTGTGTGTGTGTGTGTGTGTGTGTGTGTGTGTAGCTCACAGGTCTCTGGTCAGTGAACTGCTGTCTCTCCCAGTGAAAGCGGACACTCTGAGCATTCGTTCTAGACGGGCTGATCTGGACCAGCGTCTCTCTGAGGTGGAGGAGGCCATCAAGATCTTCTCACGGGACAAAGTCTATGTGAAAGTGGACTCTTAAACTGCTCTGAGATCAGACCGTTTCTACTGCGCTTATATGAGTTTCATGAGTTCCCTGCATTTCAGTGCTGGATGCTTTAGTTGATTTATTTCTTACTAATGATATTCTGTATTTATGCGTGCTTTGGTAAATCATCATTGTTAAAAGTTCCAGTTAGGATGTGAAAAGTAGTGCTGGCCAAAAATGAATCACGATTAATAGCACCTAAAATAAAAGTTTGTTTTGACATCATTTAAGTGGGTGTACTGTTTATATTTATTACGTATATATAAATACACACATGCATGAATATATTTGAAAAAAGTTTATGCATATATAGATATAAAATAAATATGTCTATGATACTATTTATATATACATTAATATATCAATGTAGCAAAGCTGTTTTGTATAGTTTTGTTATTAATATTATTTATCTTGAATGTGATTAATCGCAATTAATCTTTGACCAGCACTATTAAATGTCGAAAATTATGACATGTGAAAACTATGAATATTAAAATTCTAAATTATGAGACAAAAATTGACATTTGGATGTTAATTAGATGCTAAATGAAAGATTAAAAATAAGAATAAAATCCTAAATTAAAGTTATAATGACATAAATAATTAAGATTATTAGATTTATTACCTTTTTTTTTTTTTTTTACTTTTTTCATCAGTTATGACATAGTGGTATGGTATAACATGCTAAAAATATGATATACTACATTATAATTATCACAAGTCAAAAATTTGAAGAAAAACACAATTTGAAAATTAAATAAAATGTATTATTATATCTATGAGATAAAATTTTTAATGACAAGAGTTTTTTTTATCATTATGACTTATTATTTCATAAATTTTGAAAGAAAATATCAAAATTGTGACACACTCAGACAGTTATGAGAGTAGTTATTAGAATTTTGTTTACAATCACATTAATAGCAAAAAAATGTGAATTATTAAAGTACAATTATGACATACTAAATCATAATTCTGAAAGAAATATGACAATATTAATTTGTCATAATAGTGACTTAGTTTGACATGGAGTCTTAATTATGACAGTATTATTTTAAATGTAAGATAGTATATAGTTATGACATAAATCATAAAAAGTCATGAGAATTTAAATTATTATTAATTAAAATGTTCCTATTTTGTCGTAATTCTGGACTTCTTTTGTCATTAAATGTCATAATTTAACATTTACGTCATTATTTTCTAATTCATGATGTAGATATCCTCAATTTTGTTAAGAATAAAATTTCTCTGATATCATTTTTAACATTTTATTCAATAATTGTGCATTTTATGTCATAGTTATGATTTACCAAAGTATGTTTTCATCTAATGTGACAGAAATCGGTTTTCATGGTGGATTTTCTTCATGATAGTTCATAATTCTCTGTAAATGAGGGTGTTTTTACTTGCAGATTGTGTGATCAAAGTATTCCTGCTGCCATGTACAGTTACAGTTATTAAATGTCTATTATGGCAAGGTGCTATCCTTCATGCATAATGTCAGTCAAATACATTTTGATAGAGCAGTCTTTACATGGCAGTGGTGCTTGTTTTCATTCATTCATTTTATTTGGCTCAGTCCCTTTGATTCATCAAGGATTCTCACAGTGGAATGAACCGCCAACTATTCCAGCATATGTTTTACACAGCGGATGCCCTTCCAGCTGCAACCCAGTACTTGGAAGCACCCATACACACTCATTCCTCATTCACACACACACTACGGCCAATTTAGTCCCTCAATTTCCCTACAGCGCATGTGCTTGGACTGTAGGGGAAATCGACGCACCTGGAGAAAAGCTCACGCCAACATAAGAAGAACATGCAAACTCCACACAGAAATGCCAAATGACCCAGCTGGGACTTCTTCTTGCCGTGACAGTGCTAATCACTGAGCCACATTTGTCAATGTGTAATCTTATATTTCACCTGATTTTCTGTTTTAAACAGCAACAGCACGGTTTGTTTTGATCATGTATGAAGTTTTTAATTCCAAAAAGTGGCTTAAAATATGTTTGCATTACACTATAAACTGTAATAGTAATACCTTTGTGTTAATGCAGCACATAAAAGTCAGAAAATTGCTTACTTTTAGAGTAAAACCTCATAATTTTGCTTAAATTGTGTTTTTTTCTGTCTGTCTTAATGATATATTGACATATTCCTGTAGCATTTGGACATCTGTGTAATCCGATCATCACATATTCTGTGGCCAGTGTAATTTTAAAGCGAGTGGGCGTGTCAGGTTATTTAAATATGTAATGAAGGTTTCTGATTGGGTAGCGTAGGCATAACGGGCGTGTTGTGCTTCTAAGCCCCGCCCCCACTATTTTGCGTGGCTACAGTGCTAATGCTAAGGCTTTGTCCAGTTTTGTTGAACGCCCGCTCAGCTGCTAGACTGTAGAAAGTGAAAATAAACTTCTTATCCTTTAAAGGGTCAAGCTATTGTTTAATATGAGTAAACGAAAAGCGCCACAAGAATCCCTGAACGAAGGAATCACTGATTTTCTCGTTGGTAAGTTTTGAACATGACAGCTCAGGGTAGCATGTGGCTAAGCTAGCAGGACCTTTAAATGTCGAATGAATGAAAATGTAGATCAGTTTTATGGATAAAAATCATGTTTAACATGTTAAAAAATAAGATGAAGTGCATTATTAGACCTAGCTTTAAGCTTCAATCAAATAAAACGGCAAATATAACCATTTATAGAGTTTAATTTTCTCTGAGAGTAGGGTCGAGATCAGTGCTGCATCAACAAAACAATAACATACAGTTTAATTTATGTTTAATGAATAACAAGTGTATTTAAAATTGATTCACAACTAAAAATCGGCAGTTTTGTTTATGTTTCTTTTCAAATCTTTTCTGTTAGCACAATCATAATCTGATTCTCATGATTGTTTTGTCTGTTTATTGAATAAATGTCAAATTATATATTATTTTAAAGTCCTTCATCTAATATAAAGAGACATTGCAAAACTCTTAGCCTTGATGATTGTGTTGTTTGTTTCAGAGCTGGCCAATTATGAGAGAAATGTCAACAGAGCCATCCATAAATACAATGCTTACAGGTAATAATTCACAGAGTCTAATTTCATAACTAAACATATAAGAAATAGAGCTTTTATTAATTATGTATGGTGCTTTGTGTTCAGAAAAGCAGCGTCTGTCATCGCGAAATATCCTCAGAAGATCAAAAGTGGGACAGAAGCAAAGAAACTGGTAAAGGCTGTTGGTTTCATCAGTAGTATTAGCTATTGAGGTAAAGTTGGTTTTATATTCGCACATTCAGACTTTCTCCTTAATATTATAATTTCTGAAAAGTATTATTTACAAATTCGAAGTAGGGAAATCATATTAGCAGCTAATTACCATCAAACCACAACATTTTTCATAGTTAATAAAAAGTGCTGATGTTGTTTTAAAGTCACACTTGCAGGTGATTTCAGACCTAATATTCAAAGTTCAGTGTAGAGACAGTGTCACAAGTTTGTCACGGTTGAAAAATGTATTAATGTGCGAATATAAAACTAACTTTTCCTAATGGTATTAGCGCCCTGATATATCAAAAATACTTGTTTGAAAGCATGTTTTTATGAAGGACTTCCCTTTACCTCTCAGGATGGAGTCGGTGCAAAGATAGCGGAGAAAATCGACGAGTTTTTAACAACAGGAAAACTGCGCAAGCTGGAAAAGGTATTCGAGTGCATGAGAAATGCATCATTACTGAAACAGGGTTTATACAGGAATCGGAGTGTAAAATTTAATGTCTTTTAAGACCTTTTTTAAGACTTTTCCGTGCATTTTAAGACCTCATCGCATCTATAGCTTTCAACCAGTAACATTGGTGACTTTAACTTGCAGCATATTTAGTAAATATTAATTGTAAGAACCATTATTCATATAATGAATAAAACTGCTAATCCAGCGCCTGTGGACCCTTTTCACTAGACTGTTATGACGTGTTTAACGGTCATCATAATATTAAATCCTTGAAAGTTTTTTTTTATATTTTCATTCTTTAAAAAATGTATGAACATTTATGTGTATTTATGACTGTATTATATCACAGGGTGTCCACCGGGGTCTTAACAAGTATTAAAAGTAGATAAATCAATGTAGAGAAATTTAAGGCCCTTAAAAAGTATTTAAAAAATGTAAATGCTGTTTTGCAAGGTATTACATTTTATATCATTTTTGATAATACAATGCATGGTTGTTTGCTAAAGTCTGCCTTAGTTAAATCTGCGAATATCAGGATGCTGTGTAGATTATGAAATCCTGCTAGATTTGACATCATGCTGCTTTGTTTACTGCAGTAATAAAGACAACACCATTATTTCTGCAGTTCTATATGCGCAAACCTGTTGAATTAGCTTGGTTAAATAGATTTTTATTCAGTATATGAATAATGTTTTAGTTTTGGATCAGTTTCTTACATTAATATTTAGTAAATATACTATACGGTAAAATCTCGCCAGTGTTTCTGGTTGAAATTTAAAGTGGTTATAAGATCTTAAAATATATGAAAATAGACTTTAAAAAGGGTCTTAAAAGGTAATAAGTTTAACTCTCTGATTCCTGTATATACTCGGTATCATCTTTGCGTCAAATAACTAAAAACAAAATCCCGCTTGTGTGAGGTGTTTCTAATGCAGCGTCTTTGGGGCTAATGACATTATTCTCTCCTCTGGTTGCCATTATCAGTCCCACACAATTTTTTTGTTTGTTTTTCTGAAAGTCTTAATAACACCATAGTGGAGTTTTTCTTTTATTATTTCAGCAAATAAGATTGTAAAAAAATATTTGTTGTTATCTCTGATTCATTGTGCTCTGAGTTTACACAACCATAACACATCTGGCTACTCAGAAACCCAGAAATGTGACAAGGATCGATATAACAGCAGGAATAACAGTGTCATCCTGGTTACTGCAGTAAACAAAGCAGCGTGATGTCAAATCTAGCAGGATTTTATCAGCATACTAATATTCGCTGGTTAAATTCAGGCAAACTTTATCAAACAACTAGACATTGTATAATCCAAAATATGATACATAATTTAATACCATGTTAAATAGCATTTAATGGGGCTTTCACATTTGGTTCAGTGGCCTTCGATTGTCCTCCCTTGCCACCACCTCGGCTGGTTTGTGTTCACACTGTCTTTTTTCCTTTTGAACTATGGTACACTTGCATCATCAAGCTGCTGTTGTGTGTACAGCTGTTGCTAGGTGAGGGGGGGCCATTAAAGCCAAGGCGCCAAAATTGAAAGATGTACACATATCAAGGTCGTTCTGCTTTTACTGATCTTTTGGTATTGATAACATACAGAGAATGGTTCACGTTTATCTGCCACAAAAATATTAAAGGGCACCTATGGTGAAAAATGTTCTGTTAAAGCTGTTTGGACAGACATGTGTAGGTATAGTGTATAGACCAGGGACGGCCAAACTTGATCCTCGAGGGCCGGTGTCCCTGCAGGGTTTTGTTCCAACACTAGTCAAACACACCTGAACATGCTAATCAGTGTCTTTAAGATCACAAGAAATCTATAAGCAGGTGTGTTTGATTAGGGTTGGAGCTAAACTGTGCAGGACACCGGCCCTCCAGGA